GACCGGCATTACGAAAGAGATATCTGTACACTAATTTGCGCACATGTACGATTCCGGGGTACAATCAAGCAAGGGCGGTGCTAATTTATAGTCAGGTAAGACTAAAATCACGCGCCCCTTCCCTGCATAGCAGTTAGCAATGAAATCATGATGAGTGGGAAACCAACACATAGCATGGCCTAAAAACGGAAGACTCGGAGTAGAGAACCATTCAGTCAGAAACCCAAGTAAGGCGTGAGCAATACCCAGCGGGAAAAAGTCAAATTTGGCCAAATGAACTACCGTTTAGATTATTACATCGCGAGGTGGGGGAATGAACAAAAACTGAGTCCACTTGGTTTGCCCCGCAATAGGTCATCTCAATCCTCATCACTGACAGCAAAAAAGATAATCGTTCAGCTGTAACGCCCTTTCGGTACCCAACTGCCATGTCACATGGAAGCACGAGGGCTTGGATACTACCAGGTTGCGCAAGCCTAGATAGAAGTTAAGATGCAGAGGCCAGGTTCGAACCAGGGACCTCCCGGTCAGTAAATCCACGATCTAACCACTGAGTAATCTCACCACCTGAGCAATCTACCGCTTATCTGCCATAGAAGGTAAAGTTCACCGTTTTTGGGACGAGATACAGCTACGGCGCACTTAGGTGGTTCCAACAGCATTATCAGTGGTCCTGTTCTGCAGGATAGTGGTAGAGCGCACTTAGAGCTCGGTGTTCTTTACACAATTGACCGATAAGTGTACCGGTCGTTCTGCAAATTTCAACTGTGAACACATGTGGCTTCTCCCGATGTGACTTGCTTGGGAAACTGATAGGATTCACATAACCGTAAATCTCTCAGCACCAGAAGCTGTAGTGGTTTGGTTATGCATTGCCCATGCCGAGCCATCGTTTATGGAAGAGAGTGATCTTTCCCATGCCCAATCAGAGATGTAGTCGAACTGACACATGCATGAAAGAGATCACGGAATGTAAGGGTATTGTCAGTGTGACTCGCCTAAGATAGGGTCCGCGCGATCCCCATCCCCCCGTTCACGGCTGGAGGCACTAAAAGACAGGATTGTTAACGGTTGTTGTCGGTAACGTTCATGTCAGTTTCCATGCAAATTGTCTGAGGAGTGCCTGGAAGTGTAGGCGATTCGGAATGATTGTAGCTATCACCAAGTAGTTCCCCATTAATTGTTACTCTGTTGTTCATCATAAGGCTATACCATAAGGTATACACCATAAGATATACGGCAGCAGAGTACCGGGGTTGAACGCAGATGTTGCGCAGTCCATGATGATGATGATGACGATGATGACGGTTGGGGAGCGAAGGAGGGAAATGCGCCTAACATCTTCGCTGTACAAGCAAAGTAAAGCCTGCAATGGTTGATCCTGACTATGGCATGACAATGTAACAATAGAATCTATGTGGTTGACCCCATGTGCGACAGAGAATGGACAACCTGAGCAATTTGCAATGCCCGTAAGTATCACATGCAAAAATCGATCGATAGCAAACAAGAAGACTGACATACCACTTTTGATTGCACATATATTAAATATTACACTGAATCGCAGTCTGATGCAGATGGCTAATCAGGGGGGTGGGAAGATGAACAGACAACTGGATAAGGAAAGGATGAGAGCAGAGGAGGGTGTGCTTCTTCTTTTGTTGCCGCATGCAGGTTTTAGTTGATCACAAGTTAGTTGTTGCCTTAGTTTAGTTGTTCAGTTTGAAAACCGTGAACCGCGCATAGTGCTTACGGTCGCCGTAGGCAGGGGGTGGTGTAGGAAAGACGGTGTATAGAAGAACGTTTAAAACAGAAGAATAAAACAGCGGGCTAAGGGTTGAGAGAGTAGAAGAATATATACAACATCACGGGTTGCTACACACCGCCATGCCGGTGGGTACTTTCAACCATTGATGTGATGGGTCTTCGCATACGTCATGTACCAGTGCACTCAAGAACCGTTGTTGTACGTTTCTTGCTCCGTCTCACGCGCTGTTAATCTTACGCTACCTTCCAATCGAAACCCGGCTTAGCAGACAGGGCACGACGAGGCAACCAACCACCTTACACACTGGATACATGGTAGAGCCAGTTAGTGCAGCAGAATCAACTCATCAACTGAGTAAGCAGCTGAATTGTTGTCAGAAACTATTCGTCGCTATTCAATATTGCCAATTAGATCCGATGACACATGGGCATAAAATTCGACGGCACTAATAGTCGAAGACACGCAGCCCTCTGTTGTATTCAACGTACAGCGGCAAAAGCTTCGCCGAAAAGCAACAATAGACGTACTGCCCCGTTGTAAGACCTGCGTTTCACTTGGAACCCAGGGGTCTAGGCTGAATGGAAGCAGAACGGATTCCGGAAACGCCTCCACCCGCTGTTCTGTAAAGCTGAACCATCCGAATCCGAGACTCGGTGGCGAACCCCTCGAACCCCCCACGGTGATTCCACCAGATAATATCAGTAATGCGTAAACACAAGCCTTTAAAACCACTAGTTTATGTTTGTCTGTTTTCACAAACAAACAAGAATACTGCGCACGTGGTTGCGTTGTCCACGAATCTCTTCAAAGAAGACATCAAATCACACCGGTGCCAAAGATGCTTTGAATTAGCGAATATTATTCTTGCCTTGGATACACAGTGTAACCACATTTCCGATATCAACACCGGTCCGATATACATGGGACTATCTACCACCCAAAGTGATAGCTGACGGAGATGTTACCCAATCTTGGAATACCACTTAACATCTCACGATTGCAAAGCACTTACCAAATTATGCAAGTCGACTGCAAAACGATCTGACAAGCTTTGAACCAACCCACAGCTATCCCCCAGGAAAACGACATCGTTTGCCAACCCTGTGTGACCTAAAGGAGGGCTAACTCCACAAGAACCAGCAACTAGAAGGGTCCTAGAAAGGATATCGTCGACAGCACAGTTGAAAGGAAGCAGGAAAATAGGACAACCCTGACGCATCCAAATGATAAGAGTAAATGGCAGTGATAATTTTCTATAGGTCCCACTTTACTGAATATCCGTCTGTACAATACCTCAAGCACACTGATGTACTTGTACGCACCCCATACATATATGAATAGCGTCACATGGTACCTCTGTCAATCGAGTCGAAAGCCGCACGTGGGTCGCTAACAGGGCAAACATTTGGTCAGAACAACCTAAACCAGAGCGAGAACCAGCTATTACTCCCCACATCTGTTCCTGACGCTAGCAACTTAACTTACGAATTGCAAGTGAGGCAGGGAATTTTGGCACAGTCAATATGAGACCAGTCACCACGGATTCCACTTTCGAATACCGGAGAGATAATCGATTCGCCCCAGGATTGGGAACCTTTCTATCAAACCAGATCTTGGAGGATAGAGAAGTGCACTAAATGGGCCTAACGCCTTGCGTCGGTTGAAGTTCGTGAACCGTTTTCTAACCCTTGTAAGGAGATCTGGACCGACGGGTAGTGGTGGATGTAGTTTGTAGTGCAAAGAGAACCCAGACGGATTAAACTGGGCTACGAGGTGTTCCGACCAGCGCTTCGGTCCCTTCGAAATTTGTGTATCACTGTAACGTCTGCATGTGTTCGATGAAAGGTAATCCGGGACAATGGATAGGCCATGCAAGCAACTCGGCACGGTTAATACAATGTTTCAATCCAATATACTCCTTGTTGTGCAGAGATTTAGTATTGTTACATATGACGAAGCGAACGAAAGCCACAGATTCGAGGAGTAAAGCAACATGTGCGTAGGTGCGAGGTATCTCAAACTCAACAGCCACGTGACGGGGCACAAATATCATTGCACAAATATCAGTGCTGATATAAATAAGTACGGGGCGAGACGGATCAGTGGTTAGAGCGCGAATTTACTGACCGGAAGGTCCGTGGTTCGAATCCGACCTCTGCCTCCCAACTTACCCTGTCTAGGCTTGGGAAACCTGGCAGTATCCCAGCCCTCGTGCTTCCTTCAGGTAGCATGGCAGTTAGATATCAAAAGGATGGTAAAACTGAACCACTTTTTTAAGTAAGCACACAAGAGACCATGAATAAAGCGGAAATTGTCCTCTTGTCCCTTACCTGAAATTCCACTTGTATGCAAATACAAGTCGGTGGTCACCCTCTGTTCGAATCCACTCCACTGTGTAAAAACTGGTCTGCATCATACCCTGCCACTTCGGGACAACAAATAACTCATTCAGCAGTGTCGTCTTACGACATTAAGCCAAGTGGACGATGAATCACCGAAATGCCCGGAGCGGACTCAAACCATGAACACATGTACACCATAAAGTTATTGTTAAGCACCTTTAAAATCTTTACGCCGAAATGAACCTACGAAATTTTGCCGATTAGTCTACTACTCATAGTTTCTGATCGTAAGGAGTATTTTTCGGTTTATGGCAGTGAAGCATCGGTGCTGAACACTGTCATGGTTTGAAGATGATTTTTCGGTTTTCCGGCATAGATCGACTCCACTGGCTGGGCGGAATCCAGATCTGACGAGAAGGGAAAGCATCGGTCACTTGCGAAGCCAGCTGACACCGGCTCACGTAACTTGAAGTGCATTGCTGTATGAAACTTGGAACTACACCTTGCTTAAATGCCAGCTATATTCAATTTGTTGCCCATTGTTTTACTTAAAAGAGGACAAAATCTACGGCGGAATACGGTTTCGGAGTTCACTTCCGTTCTGTCTATGAGCTATGAGTCGGCTTTCAATCCAACATTTTATTTCAACTTCGTCAACTAGCTAAGGTATATGCTTCAAGGGAAAACTACGGGAGAGCAAACGTATAAGAGCATAAGCGCTGATAGCTCGGTGGCACGAATAAAACTGACAAGAAAAGTTGGCATTCGAACACACCGGACTGAGCACTAGAAATCAATCGGAACCCCAGAAACTCTCGAGATAAGTCTTATGTAGCCGCGGATGGTCTGTAGGTAGAACGCTAGAACTAAAAATAAACTGAATAACGTACCTCAAACCGACAATCGTCATACTCGTGTGGTTTGACAAATGCCGTTCGAATTCGAACAGAGCCACGTGAGCCAAGACCGATTTCGTCCTCGCTCCGGTAGTAGGTGAGCGTTCCATCTGACAGGACAAAATATCGCTCTTGCCATCCGTGCAGCAAATTGGTCCACTTGCTTAAAACGCCACTGATTGGCAACGGGGCCCAGACGTCACTTTCCTCGGACTGGTCCTCATCGGAGGCACTACTGCCGGCAGTTAGGTTCTCCTGGCTGGATTTTGACAAAGTGTCGGTTTTATGGCACGGTATTCCATGCTGACTAGTATTGGAAGGCTGGGGAATGGCAGCTAAAGCTGTACCGGACACGCCACTAAGTGCCGGAACGACTGAGAGCATATCAGCTGAAACGGAGGAATTGTGCACGGGTCAGTAATGGATAAATAAAGTAGATGAATGACACAGGAAGGTAGGAATAACAGCAGCTTAGGAACACCGGTGCTCCAAATTTGCACAACCAACTCAAGTCGTGCATCGAATCAACACAGTTAAGTTTCAGATTTGAGCAGGGACTCCTTTAACGATGACTTCTGTCAGTAAATTGAAGTAGCCGTAAGCGAAATAAGGAGTATACCGGGAAGAAAAAGTAGGAGATCCAAGGGATGCAGTTTAGGTAAACAGCGAGGCTTGCAAAAAATAGGCCAGCACATTTGCCACAGACTGAAAAATGTTGTCATAATGGTAGACGATCGGTTGTCACAGCGGAAAGCGGCCACAACTAACCATAAGGACCGTCGTCTGGCGCTCAACTCTGTAGATGCTGTCTGCCACTTCTGCTCAGATGTGAACAAATCTGAAGAACTAGATATCAGTGTACCATTATTTTGCAACCAGGCTGTGACCTGCAGCTAGAGTCCACGCCAAAAGCCAATTGTTCACCATTACGCACAATTGTCTATGAATCGTTTACGCGAGCTGGGAAACAGTGGAAGGAGGTGAGCTACAAGTGTAACGGCGATACTACTGATGGGGAGACGTGCGAGTAGTATGTGTTGTTCTTGGAATTTCGCTTTGCGTCTCTTGAAAAGGGGAGATCTGTTGCGGGATTTGTGGAGTCGCTTTGTAACATTTGCTTGGATTTGAGCAATAAATGATTGGAGTCAATGAATATCCAGGAAAGTTCAAGAAGACGCGTTCAGGAGTAGATGGATGTTCAGTTTTTGTAAATAAGATGCAAATGAGAGTTTTGCGTCCATGTCCAATAGTCTGTAACCGGTCGGTTGGCATTTTCTAGTAAATAACTCCGCAGCGAAGGCCCTCTTCCAACTTACCCCGGTCGGTCTCCAGTCCGGCAGCCTCCGCAACCTCCTCAAAGTCCTCCAGGAAGGTCCGAATATCCTCATCCTCAAAAGGTTGCGGCCACGGGATCTTCATCCCATTCTGATCACGGCACCAAATGTTACGCGACGCAATAAGTAAAAGTGCTAGGCTGCTGCGGGTAAGTATAGAGTATTGTGTCTTGTTCATTACCTTCACATTACGAACTCCTAAGCAAGTTGGCCAACAAGCTGCTCTTGTGCGAGTTGTTGATTCCTTGACAACGGATGTTCGCTGAACGTCTGAAACTCGAAAGCAGGTTCTGTAAATGGAGTTGCGGTACCTCTTCTCCTTAGTACCCTCTCTTCTTAGTTGCAAACATCGGACACCTCGGTACCTCACAAGCACGATCTGGTTGAAGGGCGAAATTATAACACTTGAGTTTTTACAACTTAGTACCGATCGCCAGTCGTTCCTCAGGAATACTGGGTTTAGATGCAGTGGACGCCTAGCGTCCCCGTACTCTAAAGCAACCGTGGTTCAAAATCGATCACGTAGCCGTTAAATTTTCAGTGGCCAGGCTCAATAGTCGACGGTCGATCAATTTGAAATACATACGCTAATTCAGATCGTGACTTGATCGTTTGTAGAAAGCCGAAAATTTAACTGATTCATGAGTAAAAAGGAAACTCAAAAAAACCTCCCTATACAATAATTTAAAAGCGGGCTCCTCCGAAAGCACAACTCGTAAGTGAGAATAGATAAAATCAACCATATGATAGGCCGAAAACTTAGTATGTGATGTTTTCGAGGGCGCGCACACACTAAACATTTACCTCATAACGGTCAGTGTCGCTTCTTGATACAAAACGGCGTGTGCCTTCGGGGTCGCAGCACAACTTCGCTGGACGGTCTATTAGACGTCAGCTCAAACAAAAAGTGAGTTGATAAGGTGTCGAGACCGGGAATCGAAAGAAATGGTGGCCAGTGCATCAGGAAACGCGCAGAAGCTGTTTCAGCTACTCCGTAAAACAGAACGCAGAACAGTTTAATCAAACAAAATCTTGGAAATCTGATAAAACCAATTGCTGAACTTGATGAACAGAATAGTCTCAATAACAGATTAGCTATTGGTCCCTCTTATCTGGACTTTTCACGTGACCTGCTAAACCCGAGCCGTAGTCTGCGAGTTTAGGTTCTCCCTCAACTTATGAAGTACTAATATGTCTTAGTGCCTTGAAGTTCCATCACTTTGTCGGGCTGTTACCATCAGCATTAACAGCACTGATGCTCCTCACCACCGTACAACCATAGTTTATTCAATTATATATTTAAAGGCTTAAAGTGAAAGAAAAGAGTCGGCGAAGGAGTGGCCTGGTTCTGGTCTATTGCAAGTACCCCGAGTCTGCATTTGCAAGCGGTCAAACAGACGACTTGGGAAGAAACTGACACCACAAACGCTATTTCCCGTAGTGTCTCTGGCCGAGCGCCAGGCATGTCTCCCGACCATACAATAATACAGCGTTTACCGTAGCCTTGTATGGGCGACTCTTGAGACCTCGTGATATGCCTTTTTGACTCCACAGGTTACACAAATCAGCAAACGTGATTAGAGTCTTTGAGGTTCGTGCACTAACTTCAGATACACTTCTGTTAGAGCGGACACAGTTATCGAAAAATACGTCACAATCTCCAGTGCCCTCCTCGAGTTAAAAAGGAAAATCCAGGGAATCATGGTTTTGCACAATGAAGGTGCTGGGCGGATGCCGAAAGATGGTGGTCAGTTTACACAGTAGAGCTTCGGAAATAAGAACGATGTCTTCTGTGTACTCGAGGTCGACAATGACTTCACCAACAACGACTTGGACACCGGCTAGATAAATTTCAGCCGGCTTCAGTTAAAAATGATAGTGCATCTGCGTTCCACCGTAATTAGATTGTGTTGGGAACAAGAATAAGCTCCAGATAAAGGAGATGACCAGTGATTACACCTTTAAAAAAGACACAAGAACCAACGATTCTAATGATAGCGGTACAAGCCTTTCATCCGCAATCCTGTTGTCACTAGTAATGCTATTCTTTGCCTAGACATTCGAGATGCAAATCCAGAAGTATCAGTGCGTTCGTGCGAACATAGGGTGTACTGACCTTGTGTCTGTACCAAGTCAAACGCTTAAGCAGCACAGAACATCACCGGTTAACAACTGTGGTTCCCCTAGGCCTCAGCGGGACCTTTGATTCCGTAGATAGGTTGGTTCTTTTACATGCACCTAACCAAAGAAAAAATGTACCTGAAGTTCTTAAATGTATGCCCTATTCTCACACTTCCAATAGTGCGATTTTGTGGTGAACAGTTTGAAAGCTTTGAAAGTTCGCTAAAGCTATCGTTTTTCTACCTCTGTTAAACCTTGAGAAACTTGTGTCTAGAGAAGTACAAGCACTGGACTACGCAGACAATACTGTCTTGCTATTGAACGACCATCAGACCACAAAGACTAATGTAAATGGAATTTCAGAAGTAATCCCTAATGTTGGTATACGTTTTTCATACTGAAAGTATCTTGGGGTTTTCAGGCCATATGTCTTTTGGCCTTCTTGACCGGTGTACATAAGGAACGATTGTGCTGTTAAGGAAGTCGGTGCGCACATTACCAAGGCACGAATGCGAAATGCAAATCTGCACCATTTACGGCAGCAGTAACGAAGTCCAGTGAAGCTAAAGGGCAGTGTGCACGAAGCAGCTGAAAGAGCAACCTTCTACTACGGTTCTGAAGCTTGGCCATTTAGATTCGAGGACCCTGAGCGTCCTAGGAGGTTGACTAGCCAGTACCACTAGCTGAGTGCATCGTGCTCGCAACTAAGTGGTGCATAATAGAATAATCAGACTAAACAGAAAATAAAAGGAAATTTGTCAGCCTAAAGTGGCTGAGACACACCCAAATATCATCTACCAAGAAGCGCACCGCCTCCACCGAATTCCCGTGGGCGAAACGTTCGAGGAGGAAAGGATACGACATAGCAAACGCGAAAAGGAAGCTACCGTCGAATTCAGTGTTGTGGGATTTCTGAATGGGGTTCCCGCTGCATGTGATCTAGCATGAACTCCGTCTTAGTGGTAAAAACGTCACTTCCTGACCGAATTTCCTGGTTAACAGTATAGAAACATAACCATCCCGCTGCAACTCAGATGCCATGCTAGCGGAGGGAAGCACCAAGACTGGAATGCTGCCATACTGCCCAAACCTAGACAAGAGCAGTAGCAATGTCGGGGTTGGATTCGAACCGCGGACCTTCCAGTCAGTAAGTTCACGCCTTAACAAATGGGCTATCTCGAACCCTATAATTTGTCGCACTAAATTAACTTCGGAACCGCCGGAAACATTCCAGCAATACCCCTATCTTGTCTGGTATTCAGTGCCTGAGTGGGTCTGGTAGAGTCGTGCCACAGGCAGAACTACCACCACTGTGCAAAGATGCGTCAATCTCGTTCCAGTGTGAATTCATATCCGACGGTGGAGTAGTTGGAACCGGGTCCAGAAGATGGTGCTGATAAATTCATCTAGCTTCTGGATCTACTAGTTTCTCAATTGTTGAGTGGTCTTTCGGCACCTTACCCAGTCCTGGGAAACAAAGATAGAAGCGACTTCGGACAAGCGCGTGGTCGGAATCCAAAACAAGCGACGGTAACTGATGACGGTGCGATCAATTTAGGTTTGTGGCTGGCACGCTGCTGGAGGACAACATATAGCCATACGAATTCGGTTATTTCGTAGTGCATAAAAACAGCCTGCGGTCAGCACATAGCTGAAGCCCACGTTCGTCATTATCCGTACATATCGAGTTCAATCCATGTCGACCACCTAATTGAGTATCACGTACTGTCCACTTATGCATTCGGATCTCCAGCAACCACAACGATACCTGAGCTCTTAGCCCACCGTACTAGGTCATTCAAGGCATCACAAAACTTGTCTTCGATGACGCCAGGGCTAATTAATTGGGGCGTAAGCAAACACTTGTGAGACCCCTTCACTGACCTTCTCAGATGAAAAACACAGAGGTGACTGGGAACGGGCATTTAG